TTCATTATCAACATTTTTAATCAGATTTTTCCACCTCAGGCTCCTATTGGTCTTGATTTTGCTATACAATCTGCTGTGTTCAGTACCTTAATCTTTACATGGTCCCACTGATACTTGGTGGCATTAATCTGGGGAATAATTTACAATGCACTACAATTAGAGGCTGGGCTCACTATGCAACTTCAAGTGAGTTTATGGATGGAGAGCTCCTTCTGATTAAATTGTTACACAATGTATTTTGAGAAAAACAAACAAATAATGAACTTGGAGAGAGGGAGAAGAAAAATAGCACAGCCTTGGCTTTTGTGCTTGTTAGGTTTGTTACTAGTCAATATGCCCCCTCCTAGCTTTTTATGTAATGCTATATTATACCGTACTGCAAAGGGCAAAGACAGTGGTGAATAGGAACAACAGATCTAGGCCTGTAAGTGTGTCTAGATAGGCAGTTCTTCTTCATGACCTTTTGAGTGAGGATCATACCGGGAGATGATTTCCATATTGAGGATTGGAGCTTGTTAACTTGCGAAGGGATACAGATGAGTTGAAAAGACAAGACAGAGCATTAGGAATCTGCTGAGCAAACACGGAAGTCTTACTTTACAGTTCTTCTTTCTTCATGCTAATGAGAAGTAAATTCTATTAAAAAAAGCTAAATAATAGTCAGTGAAATTGGCCAGCTTCACATTCAGTTTTACCAGTTTTTCATTTAGTTTACCCAGTGCAGCAGATGGTACTGAGAAAACAGTCTTTGCAGCTGCTTTCTCCAGCATGGGCAATTGTTCTTTCTGAGGCATTTGAAGAATCTCCCAGTCTCAGGTCACAAAGACTAGCGTGAGATCTACAAGACTTGCATTGTGAAGGCAGTGGGAAAAATTTAACTCAGAAAATGTATAGAGTGTATTGAATGAGTGAAATGAATGGATGTAGACATTTCCTAATAGAGCACAGCATTTTGTTTGGCAGCGCAAGGAAATGTAATGTTCAAGTCATATATAGTAGCATCTGATTGCCTCAAAATGAGTTTTTGCCTGGGTTTGGTTGTCTGGTTTGTTAAGACTTGCAGTTCAATATTCAATTGAAATTATTGTATCAATGCAAAAGATGGGGTGTGCTGATTTGAAACAGAAGTAGTTGTGCATTGTAGAGAAATGTAAAGATTAGAATCAGAAAATTGTGTCTATATTGATGGGACACACTGTAATATTCTCAGAAGGCTGTTCTTAGAAGTGTCTTCTCTGTGATCCAAATTGAATTATAAGGCATGTACTTAAAACTTGAGTTTACAGGTGCTTCCACACTTGTGCTGTTTAGTTTTTTAGGAAGAGTTCTGAATGAAGGGGAGAATATTGGGCAGATGTTGATTGGAAATGGTACGTGGTTTGGTTATGAAGTTTGATGTAACATTGGGATCTTGCTGACCTTCCCTATAGTACAGAGCATGGGCAGATGTTGGCATAAAGAGGAAAGGAGAACAGGAGTGGATAGATATGAGCAGGCCAGGTGCCAGAAGATCAGCTGACTCAGTGCTGACATCAAGTGCAATCTGGGGAGTCCTTATGCAAGCCAGCTTTTCTGTGCAGCAAGTGTGTCCACATCTTTATAAGTAGGAGCCTCAGAAAAATCCGTAAACTGGTCTCTCATCTGGTCAGTGCATCTGTGTTGTCATGAGTTACCTTTTTCTTGTCTTGTTTTCACCACTTTCTCTGATCTCAGCATCTGCATGTCTCCTGTTCAATCCGCTGAGAACACACCATAAAGAGGAAATGGGAATTTAGATCATCTTGTGCATTTTCACTACATGTACAGAATTACTTCCCTCTGAGATCTGTGCAGAGTGTTACAGGCAGCTTGTAACCACGTAGTTTGTTCACAGTGCAGGAGATGAGCTTTGGGTTGTTACCAGACATAAAATACATATCCTACTTGGGTCTAACTCTAGTAGTATTGTGAGGTGGTCTGTAAAGAAATGCACTTGTATGGTACGGTGGAAATAGTTTCACACAGCTTCTTTTGGATTGCTTTGCTTTGCTTTTGAAGAGATGCTACTGAGACATTGGTAGATGGTGTATTGATGGTAGGAAGTTCAACCACTGAAGTGCCTCCTTTTATTTACCTTCAGAGATCTTGAGATGACTGTGATAAATGCATCCTTTGCTCTCCTCCCATACTGATCACTAAGTTCTGCTTTCATCTGTGGCTTCCTCTGTTTGTTGTCTGCACAGGGTAAAGGTTCTGGGGCTGATGCTGTTACCAGTGGATGTTTTCATTTTCCTAAGAAACAAACAGTGCTTTTGTCATAGCACATCACAGATAGCCATGGGAGTTAATCAGCTGGAAGAAATGAACCTGCTGCTGAGATGCACTGAAAGGGAACTCTGATGTTCTATTGAACAAGACACTGAGATCTACTTTCTGCACCTTTCCGTAGGGCTCAGATAAACAAGGCTGCAAACTGTTAGGATGAAGCAGAGTGTGTAGCTGAAGGAGGGGTGACTGGAAGGGGAAAGATGTCACTGTGGATACTGCTGGTGTTCCTCAATCTGCTTCTGTTACTCTATTGCATTGGAAGCCAGCTCTGTCCTTGAAGAATGTGAATGCATATTTTTTTCTTGGAATAGTATAACTAAGGAGGAGAAAAAAGGCTTAAGAACAGAGGGAAGTGTTCTCAATAGGGACAATGCAACTTTCATGGGAAAGCAAGCTGATACGGAATCTGCCAACCTGAAAGAGGGTGTGGGAAACTGTTACTTCATGATTAGCACTGTAATGGCTTATAAACAAGCAGTTCCCAGAGACTTGGAGATAATAAGGAAAAACAGAATTCCATGCTCTACTGTGTTCAGAGGTACCATGTTCAGTATTACAGAAGAACCTTTTCTTGCTTATTCCCTCAAGTAGAAAGGATTATTTTCTATCTCTTGTCCATTAAAAATTGCTTGATAGTCTACACTACCTCTCTCTTGCAGCAGTGTTCAGTTTAGCAGACTGTAATAATATTCATGTTCAAGCTTTTATCCAAAGTGTCAGTATTTGGGTTTTTACCTCTTCTGGGGTAAGAGCCTTCAGATTTTCCACTTCTAGACCCAGAGTCCAAACACTTTCTACTGCAGAAGGTCAAGCCAAAGAAATCAATTAGGCAGCAGAACTGCTGCCTGCAGCATCTGGATAGTTTCTTATTTGCAGATAAGTTCATTTGCAGTTCATTTGCACAAAGTATGTGCATGTTACACAGTGCTTGCTCACCACTGGTGTGTTTTGTCTATTTGAGGTCTTAAGCAGCTCTCTTCTTTGATTCATCTTCCATGCTCTTAGATGGACCACTAGATAATTTTGAATGGAGGTATATTAAAGCATGCCTTACATTTAAAAACAAATAGCAACAGCAACAAAGTACCTTCCTGTTTTGTTCTGTGTCATAGCTGCCATTTGGACTGTGTCCTTGCTGTTGGATTCATGTTTAAAACTTGCAGGAATCATGGCTGTTTTTTGGTTGTGTTGGGTTTTTTTTTTGTTTGTTTGTTTGTTTTTGTTTTGTTTTGTTTTTATTCTCAGGCACACTATGGAGTTCAGTATATCTCCATGACTGTGCTTCAAGGACAGCTCTGCTCAGCTTGATTTCTTCTCATCTCTTGGTCCCTGCCAAGCCTGTGTTCTTTTCCGCTTTGAGATACAAGGAGAGAGTAAACATTTTCCATCAACAGCAGAAAGTTTGTTCGGTGGCTTTAGTAACAACCAAATTTGCTAGTGAAGAGTGCAGAACTTGTCCTTGGATTGGGTGGATGGGATTATATTTGTGTGATTCAGCTTTACAAAGGTATTTCTCTAAGGAGACAGAACTGCAAGAGTTATAAAAGTCATGCTTTGATGTTACCTTTGCCCTGAGAATTCTCAGTAGAAATCTGTTTATCTGGATGATAGCCAGCAGGACATTTGCTAGGGATGAGGAAAGGTGTTCTGCTGTAAGTGCTTTGACATAAACTGAGTGCCTTTTCCCAAAATATCTGGGGTGTTTACATGAATGGCTGATAAGCAGGTCTATGCATTGTGATAGTATATTTCCTCAGGCCAGCAGCTTATTTTGACAATACTTTCTTCGTTCGTTCCATCGTGTTTGTTTCCATGTGGTTGACCTGCTGGCTCAGAAGTAAAAGATTTCATCTGCCATTCCTGAAACCTTGGTTTACTTAGTGCTAATTGCTTGGTATGACTTTCAGAAATAACTTGTAATCAGCACAACGCTGCTTCTTAACTCTGTCTAGCACGAAGTGCCTTTGGCTTCAAAGTGCCTGCTCTCAATTGAAAGTGGTGGGGAGTCTGCAGGCCGGGGGAGTGGCTATGTGATCAGATTGCTTTGTGGCAGTCAGTCCCTACTGATATGGAGAGATATGGGGAAGGCTGCCAGAATCCAACCTTTCCCCAGATGCCCTGGGTGTAGTAACGCAGCTGTGCTCTCCGGTAGGCACTTTGTCCTGGTGTCAGGCACATAGGCTTCCTACCCACACACATCCTGTAGTCCTTCCGTCCACTCTCCTCTCACTGCATTTGATTCCAAAATTGTCCCCAGTGTACTTAGTGAAGCTGCTTTTTTATAAGTTTGTGATGAATAAGTGGGTATTGCCCTGTCTTTTTTTGTTGTTGTTTTATAATTTTTCTTGGGGTTTTGATCTTTTTCCCCTGGTCTTGCCAGGCTGTGCGAGCACACTAATAGCACCCCACCTGGCACACTTACCGTGACAGCAGAACCAGATCAGCCAACGTAGGAGGGGAAAAGGAGGAAAAAAAAGAAAGAAAGAAAAAAAAAAAAAAGGTGGGTCAGATTGCACAAAGAAAGAAATCAGACTTGCTGCTGGAAGAAATACCCATCTGCAGGTGTGCATGCGGGCACTTAGGCATTGTGTGCATATGTTTGTGCCTGTGCGACACGGAACTGGAGCGAGTGAGAGGGAGACTGAAACTTAAACTCCTCCTGCAGCTCTGCATCTGCTCTGAGTCACTGCCATGACTCACAGTGACAGCGCTCCTATTAGCTAGTGCTCAGATGGAGCAGCTCCGGCAGCAGAAGAGGCAGGCTGTGCTCCTGGTTACCTGCTGCAGCAGGCGGCTGCGCCAAGATATTTATTTACGAGCTGAGATGAAGGACAGCAGGCTGTACTGAGTGCGGTTGTTGTTATTCTTAAGGTAAGAATGCCTGTTATTGACTAGAAGAAGATGGGAAAAGGAAATCAGAGCTGGCGAGGGCTGAGTTTCTTGCTGCAATTTCTTATTCTCAGAGGGAGCGGTGCTGCTACAAAGCTTTGTCTCAGCTGTTTGTGGTTCTGTATGGGGAATCCTGTGGCCAGTGGGCAGTGCCCATCCGAGGGAACAAAGTACCTATATTGTCATTCATTGTGTTATGTAAGGCATGGCAGCCATGTTAAGGATACAAGACCTCTTTCGAAGAAACCGTGCTGCCAGACGTCAGGGCTGGGAGAATAGCACTTAAGCAGCTCTCTGCCCGCGCTGTGCAGATGCCTATGGTTCTGGAGCTCTTGCTTACAACCAAATACACAGGCTTGTGAATTTCTTCGTTGACAAAATAAGAAATGGTGGCGTTAGGAATAGCAAAATTATGACTGTTTACCTTTAAAGACCCAGTGCTGTTTTGCCTATAGCGTGCAGTCTGGGAGCACGCACAGCCTGGGATGTAAACAGCCTCTGCGCAGTGCCTGGATGTAAACAGCCTCTTCAAACTCTTGAAAGCATATATCCATATCCTGGGCTTGTTTCATTTTGTGCCACCGAAAGCCCACATATATATACATATCCTGCTCCAACAATTGGCTATATGCAAAAAGTGGGATGTATTTTAGTTATTGTTTATGTATGCAGAAGTGAGTTAAGCAGTTTTTCTGTGGCTTTACTGTTATTTTATTCACTCTTGTGCAGTAATTTTAATGTAATGTAGGCTGGTATTGCCAATTCTCCTCATGTGGAATTCACTGAGTTTTGAGCCTTTGCTGTCCTCCCTGAGTGATTTTCTGAGTTAGGGAATCTTTGCTTTTTGAATTGTAGTAATATATTTGCACAAAAATGACTGCTGTCTTCTCTCAACTAAATATGGTGCTGTGATAAGGTCATTTGAAAAATGACAGCATCTTTCTTCTGTTTACTAATTTAGAGCATTCACTGATGCCCAGTGTTATGAATTAATTGGATATGGCATGGCTTTTTTTTTTTTTTTTAAAGAAAAAAAAGGATTAAATTTCTAAATAAAATGAATAGAAGATTTATTAGCACAACTGCCGTATCTTTACAGCTGTTGTGACATCCAACTTAGAAAACTACGGCGTGAGAACTTCAAAACTACACCATGTCGTAGTTTTAAGTCATGGGCTCTTATCTCCCAGAGCAAAATCTTGATCACCAAATTTAATGGTTTGTGTTTCTGATATAAAATATGTCTCATGTTGCAGGATTGTAAATTCAAGATGGTTTTTCCAAGATGAGGGTTGGTTTTAGGACTGCTCACTAACAAAGTTCTGGCACGTGACTTCCCTCCTTCTCCCAAATCAAGAAAACTTGAATAAAACACTCTTTAAAGTATCAATTTTTCCATTGATTTGTATGTGAATTATTGCTTTCTGATACCGTGTCAGAATTGTGTTTACCTTCATTTTTGCCTTTAAGTTTGTATACATATAGAGAAAGAATTCTGTATTCTGTGAAACCAGAACTTTATTATCATGAAATTTAAATATCTTCAATTGAGTTTCCATAATTTCTTTATTAATATGTTATGGTTGCAGTTAAATAATTAACAGCAAACATATTTGAAGAGAAATTGCATGCTTATGATCTAAAACACCAGATGAGGGCTTGCCCCTGTCTGACTCCCCATCCCAGCTGTCCATTAGTGGAAGCAGTAACCACCAGAGAGAGCTCCCTCCGGTTCATCAAGGTCTCATGCTGTTCCCTGTGCCCTGCCTGCTGCTGGTGTAGCACTGAATGAAAACAAGTGTCAGCTCAACAAAACAAAAAGCCCAGCCTGGCAAGATAGCTTGACAGTTTGCTTTGTGTGAGTAGGAAACCACCTGGGAAAAACTAGAGCGGGTTTAATGTTGATTTATTATGATGCTATCTTGATGATTACATGCCATCCTTTATTAGCAAGTCACAGCTAAAGTGGGAATGACCAAGGCAGAAGAGGTTTGTGCAGAGGAGTGCTTCGAACTTTGTGTTATGTGCAAAGGAAGCAGTTACATTGACTCTTCCTCCAGTCACCCTTAAAGTTTTTGTTACTTCCTGTTGGCTTTGTATTAGGCCGTAAAGGCAAAGTATAGCAGAAACTGGTAGGAGCATTTCACCTGTGGTTTTAGCATATGAACTGTGAGAGTTTGTGATCTCCACAACCTTCTTTTTTTGCAGTAAATATTATCCAGGCAGAATATCCCAGAATATCCCCCCTCTTCCAGTTCCCAACCTACAGGACATCATTGGTGCTTGTGGGCCTGCAACCTTTTCTCCTTGTCCTATCACCACAGATCCTGCTAAAGGGTCTGTCCCTACTTATAGCCCTCCTTTAGATTCTGAAAGGCTGCTCTCGAGTCTGCCCGGAGCTTACTCTTCTCCAGGCTGAACAGCCCCAGCTTGCTCAGTCCTCTTCCATCCCTTGGATCATTTTTGTGCAATCCTTTGAACATGCTTAGCAGGTCCATGTCTCTCCTGTGCTGAGGACTCCACATCAGCCCTCCAGCAGTACTCTAAGTGAGGTCTCACCAGCGCAGAGTAGAGGAGCAGGGTGACCTCCCTTGCCCTGCTGGCCACACTTCTTTTGATGCGGCCCAGGATACAGTTGGTTTTATGGGCTGTGAGAGCGCACTGCTGGCTCATTGTCCAGCTTGCCGTCCACCAGTACTCCTAAATCCTGTTAAGCAGGTCTGTGCTCCATCCTTAAGTCCCCCAGACCGTACTGATAGTGGGGGTTGCTTTGACCCAAGTGCAAGACGTTGGCTGAACTTGAGCATGTTTTGTTAGTGCTGCACTTAGAATTTTGTTAACTCTGTCCTTAGCTGAAGCTTCTTCTGGTGAAGCTTTAGCTCTTGTTTTCCATTTTCACTTCAGCTGCTCTGCTCTAACCAGTTTTATGATTCTCTCTCCTTGGTAGATTTTTCACACGGGCGAGCCATAAAAAATGCAAAGCTGTAAAGGGTTGTGTGATTCCATACTTCCCTTTCACTCCTGTGCCACTCATGTTGTGAACAGGAGGTGCAGTGTTCAGCTGCTCCTTTATTTGTTTCCTACTTGGTCCAGTGGGCTGTTTATTTCTGTAGCTTCCATTACGGCTCTGCCCTATCTATGTATTTTGAGCCCTGACACTGATTCCCTGGCACACACAAAGCCTTATTGCTGGTTTATCTCAGATCTCTTCTATGTTCTGCTTCCTCAAGCCTTGAGCAGAAGTTTTGAATTGGAAACTGGTATCATCTGATGCCTTCCTACCACTGCTTCATGCAGTGTGAGAAAGGGACTTGGCAGGCAGCACAGCTGTTGCTGTGGAGAGATGAGGGGCAAAGTGGAGAACAGAGCATTTCGCCAGCGTTCTTGAAGCTTTGAGATCTTCCACTGGAGGATGCACCTATTCTGTTGCCTTACACAAGAGCTGCATCAGTGGTTATTTAGAGCGATTTTATTTCCAACGCAAAATTTGAAAAGGAGGGAGGGAAGAAATTTGTTTGAGTTGGCTCTGTTACAGCTTTTTTGTTTCTTTTTTTGCATGTTAGAAGTAAGCCTCTGGAAACGAGTTTGTATTGGAACAAAGTGCTCACAGGGTGAATTGCACTGATCCATCTCGTAGGTTGGAGAACTCCACCTTTATTATTTTTTTTTTGTTGTTGAGTTTTTAGGTGAGTTGTTTTGGTAGCCTTTTAATTGTATGTATGTGTACATGTACAGGGCATCTGATTTGTCCCTGTAGCTTTTCCTGATTTCTGACTAAGTTGTTTTGTTTGTATCATATTTTAAACAGTTGTTTTGTAGGGGAGAGGGAAATAACTCTGAAGTCTTTGTATGTGCTATGTCATGAAAAGCTCTTCACTTAATCCTGGAGCAGTTGAAGCAGAGAGGCATAGAGGGAGGTTTGGGCACAACTTTGCCCTGAAGGCCTAGCTTGCTGGAGGGACTCCCACTGCACTGCGTTGTTTGAGGTTTGGTATCCCTTCCAGTTTTTGTCTGTTGAAACCTTTGTATATTCTTGAGTGTGTACAAGTTTGAATAAAGAGTAAAAGATGTTGTCCATACCGTGACTATATAAATGATATCTTCATTTGCCTTCAAGGCCTGAGTTTCCACCTACCCAGTTCTTCATGGCTGTCCTTCGCCCCCAGCTCTGGAACCAGAGCCAGCATAGGGATAAGTATAGTTCATTTCACTCTGGGTAAATAAGATTATGGCCTCGATTACGATGGTGTGTTATTTCTGTACTGAATTCTCCTTGTCTTTTATAGAGATGCAGAAATCTGGGATTAGTTCAGCTTTTGGTTTGTGCTGCATCTTTTAAAGCAGCAGACTACTTCTGCAGCCTGAATAAACAGCGGTGGATTGGTAGATAGAGTGTCTTGCATCACTGCAAAGTGACCTCCTGTGTCTAAGTAAAGCACAATTAAAAAGAAATGGGTTCATGATCCTTAATTCAGATTAATTTTTTAGCAAAATGCAAAGCATTGCCAGATGGCAGAGCTACTACAGACGGAGGTGAATAATGAAGTATGTCCTTTACTGCAAGCTGTTTGGGCAGTAAATCTGATTTTGAAAATGCAAAACAAAACAGAAAGAGGCTGCAGTATTCTACTGCAATAACAAGCCACACATTTCAGCTAGTGTCCTATGTTCTATAGGTAAGATTTTAAACCCTGGATCTGTGAAATACAAGCTGCCCTGGAAGATTTCCTCTGTCTCGTTTCTAAAAGAGATGCTAGTGGTGTGACTTTAAAGAAAAGATGCATTTCCCCTGGCCTCAACATGACTTCTCTTGGGCAGCAGAGTGGGCTTCTTGTGAGGGCATATGGACTGACACAGTCAAATGCTGATTCTTTTAGTGTGCATAGAAGGTCATGAGATAATCATACCACAGAGACAGTTTCCTCTGTTTTTTCAGGAAAATTTGCAATAAGAGCACTTTTGAGCTCTGTGCAGTACTGTAG